TTTTCTAAGAATTACAGATTTGTCTCAATATGCAAACCAATGCTCTTGCTAGTTTCTGCATGCTTTACCTCCTAACTTGTCAACCTCTCCACAATGTAATGAGAATTTTATTGATCTGGTAAAAGTTAAATAGTCCAAAAACCCCGACAGACGTGAAACATATTACTGCTATGTCTGAAACATATTACTGCTATGTCTGAAATTAACTACACTATCAGACAAAGGTTTAAATAACAAGACCAGTCAAATTCAAACTAATTATGTGGACTAGTGGTTCAAAGATTATACAGTTTAATTTTAATTTAATCTGGCTCAATAACTATATCATATGAGGAAATAGAAATGGGAAATTATAGTAAAGGCTGAAATCATAAATTCAGTAATTTACATAATAACTGCACATATCTTTGACGAATAATTTTCTCTATGTATTCAGTTATTCAGTTTCCTTCTTCAAAACATTTCCTTTTCATTTTAGAATTTTCAGATTTATTTAAGGATTTCTGTTATTATAAATATCACTAAATGCATTTAGAATGCACAGTAAAAGTGGCTAATTTTATATTTCTTTAGTAATATGAACATTCAGAATAAATATGAAATATACTATATAGCAAAGGCCAGTTACAGAGCTGATGTGTCAGAATTTCTAGAATTTAGTGACAGACCGAACAACAAAATCCAGAAATGGCAAAACTATTAATTTAGAGCAGGCATTCAGGATTTAAAAGCACTAAACAGCAGAATTTAGGACCCACAGATTGCATCAGTGGGAAAATGCCTATTCCAGCATGTGTATGATGCATTAAGAAATAATAGATGAATTTTTTAAATTGTAAGTTTTCAATTTCTTATTAATAAAAAAAAAAAAAAAAAAAAAAAAAAAAAACCCTTTCTATAATGCCTGCCCATGTGATACGATTAGAAGCATTTTTGATATTTTGAATGCTTGTGTCTAGTGAAGAGTAGAGAAAATAAAGGGAAAATAAACATGTTAAGATTCTAGTATCAGAAGTAAAACACTCAAATATTATGTTTTCATTGTTCTTCCAGACGTTCTCCAAAAAGTATGAAATTCATTGAAAACTTTCTGTAAAATACATCCATTACGTGTTGATACCATGGAAACATTTTTCAATTTGTCACATATTTCTCGAATCTTCTAAAATCGTAGGTCTATAAATCTTGCCTTCAAATCCTTCTAAACTTTACAAGCTGCAATGTCTAAAATCCTAAAAAAAAATTAGCCCTACCATTTCTGTAACAACAAAAAGATATTGGGGGGGGGGAAAGGAAAAAGTATGAAATTAATTATATAGAGAAAACTGATGCCCATTCCGAGAATTTATAATCTGAGACAATTACATGGGAAAAACTCTTACTACGAAAAAATTAAAAACAAGACATTTTTAATTAATTACATAGCTAATTTTGCTTTTCCTAAGAGCTGTTTCATAAATTGTGCTTTATAGCATTATACCTTGTTTATTTTTCAGATTCAAAATAAAATTTTATAATATGACATCGAAAAATAAAAAGGTTTTATTTTAATATTCTTTTTTAAATATAATTTCAATATATTACCATTATTTTAATGAAAGTTTATCAATGTTACGATTTTTAAAAAAAATCATGTCGCCGAAAAATTTTCAGATCTCAGAATTAAAAAGTTTCCTATAGGAAACTGATCTTAAAATCGCCAAAATGTTGAAAAGTCACCAAATTTAGAATGATTTAATACAAGAATTCACATCCCCCAAAGCAAAAAGTTGTTTAAGAGCTCTTTATTAGAAAAAATGAATTTCGAAATGCTTATGTTTCATTTCTTGCTTAGAAACTCGAATATCCTTATCATTTATATTAGAAATAGAAACAAATTATAACTTATGAACCCATTCAAAAGAATTACCATATATAGGCAGTGAATCGCCAAAAATATTACTCTAGAATGCTAATTCACACTCAAAACGGCAGTCGTAAAAACAGACAGAAATTTGAGATGATTAAAATTAAGGACTTTCTACTGAGTTTGGCCAAAATTAAGGACTTAAGGACCAAAAATCGATTCAAAAAAAATTTAAGTACTTTTAAGGACTGTACGAACCCTGTATAGTGGTTAGTGTCGCTGACTGCCGTGCCGTAGGGCCTGGGTTCGAATCCCAATAATGTCCATGCGGCATAGGGGCACTCAAAATACGCTCTCAAGAGGTTTAGGTAGGGAAAGAGGGTGGGAGACTTCGGACTCTTCCCCCCAGTGGTCTCCACTGGGAGTGGAAGTAAGCTAAATCGCACTGCCCCCTGTAAGGTGCTCAAGGCTGTTGCCAACGACAGGTACTCCTTGCACTGCTATACATCAGACAACTGAACAACTCAAAACCCCGAACGAAAGTTTTAATAATTGCATTTGGACACTCACATCAAAAATTGTTTTTGCAAGTGTCATCACATTCAAATTAGGTTTATTAGATGTGGTAATATGTTTTAATGATGGTGTACAAAGGTGCAATAAAGTAATGGAATTATTAGGAATACAACGAGGATTTTTTTTAATGGTAAAGTTTTTGCGAAAATAGATTGTGATAGAATTCATGAGGCCCCTCTGGCTTACTAAAAGCTTTCTAAAATGGCTAGAAAGAAACATAAGTTAATAAAACAAAAACAACTAGATGAAGAAATGCCATTTCAAGATGATTATGGTGCAGGAAATATGTTAAACGTTTTTTTTTTTCAAATAAATTATTAGTGTTTAAATTGAATGAGTTCTCCCCCCCCCCAGTTTTTCTCAAAATGTGTTATTTTTAACTTTCGGTATACTTTTCTTGAAAACTATTCAGCCTTAAATTTTCCACAGTTTATCTTACCTATTTCTTTGAAACTATGCAGGATATACAATCTATGATCGTTAGTTTTGGAGATATTAAAAATAATACAATTTTTTCTACGATTTTCAAAACATTTTACGAATTTATTTTAAATATTTTTTAAAGCAAAATGTAAAATACTATTTATTATTTTTTAAATAATATGTTTTTAACCATCATGTAACATTTGAAGGAATTTGATGCAGTGCTTTTTTTTAAGAAAAGTGTACCACTGTCATAAAAGATTTGTCAAAGATTAGAGAAATTAAACAACTGGTTTTTAAAAACATTAAACTTTAAATTTATGTTTTATGTGTTTTATACAATGTACGAGCTTTTTTAAATTTAAAAAAGAATTTAGAGCATATGCTTATTTTGAGAAAAATTATACTCCTAATAAACTTTTGTCCCAAAATTGTTAAATTTTGCCAGTGGGTATGTCACCATATCCCCTTAATTTGATAATACTGAAACACTGAGTGCATTGCATTTTCTCCACTCTCATCCATGCTTAACTCCACTGCTGAGTTGCCCAATTATTGAGTTTCTGTCATTAAAAAAACATTTCTTAGTGAATAATTATGCTGGCACATAGTGGTCAATGAATGAAATGAGTGAAAAAAGCTTCTGTGCATCCAAGCCATGCCAAATGTTATACTGTACATACAATATGTCTCCTAGCTGTTAAGTTAAGTATCTCCTATCATTTCACCCTAGCGTTAATCTGGCCTTGCCTGTAGAAAAAGATAATCATTCTACATATGGTTTATGGTCAACCACTACTGAATTTTTAAACCACTGTTCCTATAATCTGAAAAATGCCACCCAAGCTAACCTTCTTCCAGTTTCAAAAGCACTGGATGTCAGGTACAGTTATTCAGATGTCCAGAAAGACTGCCTGTGTGACAGCACCTCAAAAGCAGTTAAACCTACTATGCAGCATGTTTCCATTTAAATGTTGAAGATGTACACGAAAAGTCATATTGTGTGTGTGTGTGTGACTTATTGAACCAAAATAATAGACAGTCTTTTAAGTAGTGTTTGGTTTTGTTCTGCTTGATTTACTTTCACATCAATGCATTAAAAGAAATCTTACCAAAATGATTATTCTGTACTGAGATACATGACAAATTGCATTAGAAATTTTACTTTTTATTAATTAAAATAATTGTGTAATATTTATAGACATTTATCAGAAATATTATAAAAACACAAAATAATACCAATTGAATAATATTAAAAATAAAAATATATGTATTACCAAAGCCTGTAATCTCTATTAAATAATGAAGAATATATATGTTCTTAGTTCCTAAAAATGGTGGCACATAGAGCCACGAAATTCTGAATACAGATAATTCCCCTGAATATGAAATTTGTTTAAAATGAAATAACACTCAAGAGACAGTTATTAAAGAAAGGGGAGGGAATTGGTTGCAGTTGAATTTTAACTGACAGCTCATTACTAGCATATATCTGTACCATATGCTATTAACTGCACTACTGTGGTTAGGTGCAAGTACATTAAGAGGCTAACTGCTACTTCAGTTTTGCCATTCATGCATATTTAACTTCTTCTATACTTATTCAAAACTAGGATATAATCTATATGGCCTACCTAAGATTGCATAAATTCACTTACTGGTTAAACTGTATAATTTTGTTAAAATATATAGAGAGATCTTATTATCACTTTATCTATAAAAACTGATTGCTGCTCTATACTATAAATGAATTTTGTTCAATATATACTACTTTAGTAAATTTTATGTACACTTTTGATGCACTTGTATTTCTGCCAAAGCTAACCATATACAGCAATTTTTAGCAGGAATCAAACTGGTGCTGTTATATTATGAATAATCACTCATCATTTATTTACAAATAATTTTAAAATATTTCAACAGCTCTCTTCTCCATTTCTTACAATAGCAGAAAGAAGCAATAGACATGCACAAAATAGGTAACATACAAATCCCTAGTTGCATGAGAAAAATTATTCATAGCTTAGAAAACAAATATATTCCGTTTTTAACCACAAAACTAAGAAAATGTAATATTCACTTGAAAGGCATAATGATGTATTTTCAAAATTTCAAAACTTCATTTAAAAGTACTTTCAAAATTTTAAAATATTACCTTCTCATCTGAGTATTATATAAACGACCCAGTTCTGGATGATTAGGTGCCAATTCAGCAACACGCTTCAATGTGATCCTAATTGTTTCCTGATCAGTTTGCCGCTTAGAGAATAATTCTGTGACCTATACAAACAAGACAAAGCTTCATACAGTTTGAGTTCGCAATACTTTTCTAATTTTGGGGGCAAACAAATATTTATGATTTGATTTGGTTCATCTGATTACTGCTAAGCACATGAAATCTATTTGCCTAAGAGAAGGGATCCTTACGTGGAACTTTCTATGGAAAACCAGTTTGTATACACATTACATGCAGAGAAAACCATGAAAACACCCATGCAGCCAGCTTATTTGCCAAGATTCCAGCACTGGACAAGCTACCAGTATTCAGTTACTTCTCATTTAACTGCTGGTACCCATGTTTTCTTAATTTTCATAAATATTGGTGGGAGAAAAAATACTTATGAAAATAAAGAAAATACATAAAATTTTATTGTATTTATTGAAAGAAGACCCCCTTGAATATAAGACATTTTTAAGATATAAAGACATAGGTGAATATTTGATGACAGTATGGTTCTAATTTTAATTCATTTGATTCTCACTAGAACAGCTGTATTTTACTTAAGATACTGAAAGAAAAATTAGGAAAAATAGGTGGCACATTACTACCTATTTGTTTTCAGGCATATCAGCAACCAGTATAATACAGGCATAAATTTAAATTGTTCACGTAGACATTATCATAAATGGCAGTAGTTATATAATATATATATATATATATACATACGCAAAGAGAGATAACAAGTAAGAAATTTAGAACCAGTTAGTTCCACAAAGACCCAAAAGAAGTGAAATACCAGTAAAATTTCAAAATTTCCTAAAATCTGTGCACACCATAGCTGCATATTATTTATGTAATAGGATAACTTAGAAAAAGCTGCAACAGAGTGGTGATGGTTCTTTGCATTGTAATAACTTGGAAAGGCTTCACTGCATAGTCAGAAAGATGACGTTCGAAAACAGACATTCCACATATAATTTTATTCCTTTATGATTAATTCTTAAGACATATATTCTTTTTCATTTCACGTCATTAGGGGTGCACTATGCATCCCCCAATTTTATAGAGATTTTATTTTTAAAACAATGAACAATAGCTAGCAGAAGCTAAGTGACACGTCTAAGCATCAGCGAGTGAAGTAGTTGCATGAGAAATGGAAGAGAGCTAGAAGGAAAAGTGCGTATCTGTCTGATATGGTAGCCTATTAAGAGAAAGGTTTCAGTTCTTGAAATTTTCAATTCAAGTTCTGAATTATTTAACAGCGAAGTTTCAGTTTAGGTTAAGCATTACTTCTGTTATCGCATACTTCCCAACCTATGACACTCAAAAATCAGGAGATTTTTTTAAGAAATCAGTAGATTTTGCACAATGTTAAAAATACTTTTTAAATGATAAAAATAAAGTTTTTAATAATAAATTAATTTTAAATAGTTACTAATTCTTAATGCAAGCAGCATAAAAATACCTTATACATAAGAAAAACATTTTTATTACTTGAAAACAAACAAAATTAAAAAAAAAAAAAAAAAAAAAAAAAAAAAAGACACTTTAATCAGTTTTTTTACAATGTTATGAACAGTGGCAAGATTTTGCTTTCATTAAGAAAGAAACTTCATAATTTTGTTCATAACAATTGCCTTGTAGGCCTGCTTTCGCTAATAAAAGTTTTTCTAATGCGTCAATACTAGTATTAGATCTAAATTTAGTCCTCGTTTTCGCAACAACACTGAAAAACCTCTCACAATCTGCATTACTATGGGGAACTGTCAAGATGGCCAACATAATTCTAGACAGTTCACTAGATTTTATAATTCCATCAGCACTTTTCAGTTTCAGTTTTCCAATTAAACTCAATCCTAGCTGATTCTCTCCATCCAAGTTTTCTAATTGTAAACTTCAAAATTGCGACTGCAATATTATCAGTGGCAACATAAATATCATCATCTTTCATGACTAAATAAAGTAACACAGGAAATCTCTTCAAAAAGTACCTTATATCAGAAAAAGATGCATTTGCTAGAGCAGAAACATCAGCAACTTTAGAAGGAAAATCACTTCATCGTTGACTGGAAATTTATGTAGTATGTAATCACATACTCGACAGAAGTAACTTCTAACATGAAGATAAAACTTATTTTTGTCTTCTTCTGAAAGTTCTTCCACTACAAAACTTTTGTAGTTGCAGCTCCTATTACCAAATCTTCATCTTTTTTCTAATATTCTATTTCACCATAAATCACACCATATATACACAAGACAATACACAGACTGGTTTTACAAACTTTGATAAAATGTCTTTAAATAGATCATAAATTATTGATTGCAAAACATAAATTAATGGAATTGCGCTTTGTAAAACTCTGTTAAGAACATTGAATGATGGCAAAATGAATTATAAAAAAAAGCAAAAGGCTTTGTTAAGTTCCGAAGAAAAAAACACAAGTATTCCTTCTTCACAAGATAAACTTACAGTAATCGGAAAATGTTTCGTGTGTTGAGCAATTTTTTGTTTTGAGAGAAATTTGTATCAGCTTTGCGATTATATTTTACAGTATTATTTTGAGAACTGCCAGTTGAATTGCTGAATGGTGCAGAAATTACTTTATTTTTCTCAAACCTATTTTTAACAATGGAAGTAGTAGCTACATCTCCAATTACTTTAGGTATTTTATAACTTTCAATAGAGCCTTTTTTATCTTAACTCTCGAAGCATTTACTTCTTTAAAAAATGCAAGAAGTGGGTTCCATTGATCGAGGATTCTAGATAAGCATTTCTTTAACGATGGCCAGCATGTACACACATGTTTTAAAATTTGTCTTATTTCAGTATTATGCAGCTGCTGGAACAGTTTCAATTTTCCCTTCCTTTTAGAATTCCTTTCAAGATAATAAATATCAACAATGTGTTCCATCCACATTTATTGGTAAAGAAGCTGCCCCTTTTTCAGCTGCTAAATTTAAGAAGTGACAGGTGCACCTCATAATCTGCAAATCTCAATTTTCCTTTCTTAAGATGCCTGCAACACCAGTCTTTCGAGCCTACCATTACTGGTGCAATATCGGCACCAAGTGCTAAGCAATTATCTTTTCAAGTTTTAATAATTACCTGTGCTATATTAAAGCCTGTCGAATGTCCTTCTAAAGAAATTCTCACCTGATTCGCAAGGTTTTGTTTAGATATAATCTAGATAAAATTCAATTGCGTTCAGACGTCCTAAATCACTTTTTTTCTTTTTTGTTCATATAAAAGTATTAAGACAAGTTCCATAAAAACCGTGTGAAATTTTAAGAAGATAAAAAGCCAGGAGAAATATATTGTAAATCAGGTTGGCGGGAGAGCGGTCAAAAATCGGGAGTCTCCCGCCTAAATCAAGAGAGTTGGCAACTGTGCATCAGCATTATTAAGGGCTGTATATGTGGACCAATATAGAAATGATACAGTCGAGAGAAATTTTCATGCACTGCAGACATCAGGAAGGGAACATATAAAAAACCTAAAAAAGAATTTGCTACTGCTAATTTAGTAATTTATTAGAGACTTATTTTCTTATTTTATACTTTACAGATTTCTCCCCTTCAAGAAGAAAAAAAGGGCTCAGCAAAGAGAAAAGCCTTTTCAGCAAAAGTTTCAATTTTACACAATAGGTAACAAAAATGTGTAAGATAAATTATAATTTAAATTTGCAATAACTTTATAATGCTTACATTGAATTCTTCTTATTCTAAAAATAGCAATCTCTCTTCATTGTATCATTTCGAGAATAATTCATGTCTAATGACTATCATTGATGATGTTAAATGGAACTAAAAAAGGCAATAATTTAACAGCACTATTAATCATCCAATCAAAATGCACTGAGAACAAAAAATAACTCCGACTTAAGATTTCATTCTGAACACAATGCTTCATTCGGCCTAGCTGGATTGCTGCTCTTTTCTTACTGTAAATCTATCAAAATTGTAAACATTTTGAAACAGGCAAGAGTAGTGTGCCAAGTTGTTTGTGGCCACTATTTTTGCCTGTTTGTATATATACTGAAATAAAGATGAATAGTTAATCTTCCTCAGCTGGCAGTTTCCTATTCATTATGGATTCAACGGTCTACGTTTCTATGCAATTTTATGTGCTAGCTACCCCATCAGTACTACTACATGACAGAGAAATCCGTTTTTCTATGTCATTACTTCTAGGTAAACTCCTTCATCACAATGAACAAATGTCATAGTTCTCCATCTACATCAACAGTTTCTACAATATTTACTTTTGTTTTAACTTTGAAAGTGCACAGAAGTCAAATGCCACTCACTCTCCACGTGTTGAACTGCAGGACTCTTCTCATTCCTGCGTTTTAATGTCCAGATTTATAGAGGCATGCAGATGAACAGTCATTTGTTATTTAGTTTGAGGCACAACTCTAGTTACATTGCTCCGTAAACTCGCACATTTTAATATTATTTTGAAAAATTATTGTTTGCGAAAAAATGGTATTGTAGAGTTTTATTTAAATGATCTATCAGATTGTTCTGACAGTTATTCAAGAAGTTATAGCGGTGACAAAAGTGATTGAAGTGATGTAATGATTCAGAAGGCAGGTATGTTTTGCCATTAAGATATAGCAATTCAGAAGATGAAGATATGAGTAAAGTTAAAGACAATTCAAATAACATTGAAAATAAGTGATATACGGTCGAACAATGACAAAGCAATAATTTTTTAACCTTTCAAAGGCAAGCCCAACAACAACACAAAAAAAAAAAAAAAAAAAAAACTATGCCAAATTTTTCAAAAATTGTGATGATTAGTAGCAGTTTCCCCCCCCCCAAGTACTTGGTGAGAAAATCCAATAGATATCATTATCATGTCATGGGAAACCATCAAATTTCACCAACAACAACAACAAAAAAAGATTTAACGGTAACGGAAATTAATAAGTTTTCAGAGCTAATAGCTCTACTGGGACAAGTAAAAAAGGACATTCTCTATGATTACTGGCCCACTAATTGAAATATAGAAACTCCATTCTTCTCACTAGCAGTGAGCAGCAACAGATTTGAGCAA